CCCTTTTGCTGCACTCGGCTACCCCCAGCAGCAGAACTGGTCAGTGCCCATCTAACCAGCATGCTGCTGGTTGGTATCCCCCAGCCCAGGGAGCTCTGCCTGCCACAGCCACATCGATATAGCTCTGCCTAGGGTCCTTCTGGCATGATTCAGTTTGGCGCATGGTCTAACCACATCGCCGACAGACCTTCCTACGCCCTGATCTCATGCCGGTGACCACCATCACCTGGCATCGCAGACACCTGCCCGACTCCATCTCTCCCCATCTCTGGAGAGCTCTGCATGCCCAGACGCCGCAGCTCGCCCCTCTCCATTGTGACTGAGCAACAGCTAATCAAAGCTGTACGAACACTGGAAAGCCTCAGAAACCCATGGGATCTTGGAGGGAGGGTCTGCGGTCTAAGCACGCAGTCAGCCATGAGTTCGGGCTGGGTTGGCCTTTGCTTGACCAGAACCCAAGAAGCGGGCAGCAGGAGCGTGGTGCTGTCAGCGGGGCGATGCCCAACAATCACCTTATGGGTGGCACTTGCACACCTGAGCCAAGTCCAGGGGACCTGGCTTGGCCACACAGCCAGCAGGGTGGGGGTTACCCATTGTGCCTAACCTGTAGGAGCAGGAGAAGGGCTCGTGGGGCCTAGGCATGAGCCTGAGCAGTGGAAAGCTCCCCATCAAGCTCAGGGGAAGGGGAGTCCTCCTGGCTGGGGCTCTGGAAGCAGAGCTGGAGCACGCAGCATGCAGCCACCTCCAGTGGGGTCTGCTAATCCACCTCTCAGAGGCCGGCGATTTCTGCGGGACCGCGAGAGCCTGCAGCCACCCCAGGACTGAGGTTGCTCTCCCGGCATGGGAGGAGAAGCCCTTACACACAGGCTACCAAGGCAGATGAAGCCCGGTAGTGCCCCCAGACCAGCAGCTGGCAGCGGTAGCGCTGTCCTGAGCGGAGCTGCCAGGCCAGGGCGATGCATCCCCTTCCATACAAAGCCTGTATGCAACCTCCTCATGCTGCTTGTAAACGAGCAGCACCTGAACCCCCAACTTTGGGAGGGAAACACCCCCTGGCAATGTCTGGAGTGAAAGCTATGCCATCAAACTCGCTAGCAGGAGCTGTGGGCTTTCCTTTCATCACAGGGCGCTCCTGGCACCCCCAATGCCCCCTCACCTGCAGCCGAGACCCTTCAGCTGCCAGCGATCTCTGGGGCAACGCGAGCGAAGCCAGATCCCCGAGGACATGGGTGGCTGCTGCAACCTTTCCTTCTCCCCACATAATCTACTCGGTAGCTGGCTCCCAGCCCGCTTGTCCCAGAGGAAGCTGGATTGCCCAGCCCAGCCAGCCTCTCCTTCCTGCGCCTTTCAAGCAACCAGCTCCGGAAAACATCCCCCAGAAGCACAAGGGGATGGAGAACAGCTTCCAGTGTCTGCCTGCGACCCGAGATGCCCTGCCTGCGACCTGGGGTCACTAAGCTGGGTCAGGGCTAGAGCCACCTCCGAGCTGTCCAGCCGCACGCCCTGCCAGAGGTGGGAGCAGGCCAGCGATCGGCGCTTTGCGGGGCTCCGGGAAGGGGAGGCTGCGGTACCCTCCGGACCCCCTCCCACTGCCCGCGGCACAGGGGACCTGACCTGGCCGCGAAAGGCAGAGGGAGAGCCAGGGCAGCTGGGACCCCGCTGTGGGCGAGAGGCAGCCAAAGGGCCAAGAGGGGGGCAAGGAGAGCGGGAACGGCAGTGCCAGCGGGTGGCATGGAGCAAGGTGGACAAGATGAAGGGCATGCCAAGCCGTGCCCCCCAGCCATGGGCACGCAAAGGCTTTGGGGCAGAGCCCAGGCCAAGGGGAGGCCCGGGTGAGGCGCTGGCATGCCCCTGCCAGGGGAGGAGGAGGGATGCGGGAGCAGGGCTCCACTGCCACGAGCAGCTGGGCTGCCCTGTCACATAACCGAAGGGGGAGCCTGCTGCCTTCCCAGCGCTCCGCTCGACAAGTTTCGGCCCTTTCCCCGTCGGCGCCTTTCCCGGCTGAGCCCCATCCTGCTTGCAGCCCGTTCCAGTCGCCCCCAAACGTCCCACCACGGCCCCTCGCAAGCCTTCCTCCCCAGCCCATCACCGCACAGCCCGCAGCATCCTGTCAGACATGCTCCTCGGCTGCTTCTCCTGCCCGCTCTGACCGACCGCCACGGGGGCAGCGCCCTGTCCCTGTCCCAGCACACGGCTCTGGCGCCGAGCACGGGTCAGGACTGGCCGGTGTGGCCCTGAGCCCAGCTCCCCCAGTCTGAAGTTTGGCTGCCCTGCCAGGACCAGCCAGGAACCTGGGCTGCCTCCCCGAGAGCGAGGGCAAGAAGCCGGCCAGACTGAACTTCACGGGCCTGCCAGCCCAGGGGGCGAAGCCAGGAGACCCCCCACCAGCTCCGCAGCACCCATGTCACGCTCCGGCACCTGGGCTCTTACCTTCGCTGGTGGTGGAAGAGATGCAGGCTGCTATTGCAATGACAACGGAGAGCAAGGCAGTAAGATGCCCGCGCGCCCATGCCATGGTACGCTGGCGCCGCGAGGCGTGGGACAGGGGAGCCCGCTGGTCCGACGCACCTCTGGCAGCGAGTGCTAGGAGCTCCGGCAGACCCCAGCTAATCCAAACGCACTTTACACACACTTGCTCACATACACACAGGCGAGCTGCATGGGGGGGGAGGGAACAGGCTGCCTGTCACAGCTTAAAAGCCAATTGGCTTCGTGGGCTCTGCAGAGAGCTCCCCTCCTCCCGCCCCACACACGCACGCCGTATAGATACGGAGCCCAATGCACCGTCTCCCCCCTGCTATTCCCCCTCTTCTCGTGCCGCCGGTGAACAGACTTGCAGCCTGCTCTCCTCTCGCTCCATCGCTGCCTTCGCACGCCAGCGGGCGGGTTGCTATGAAACCCAAAGTTGTGCCCAGAGCATCCCTGGCAGAAGCCACGGAGGCCCAGGTGGGCCCGAGCACAGGCAGCGTGGAGCAGGGCAAGAGGTAGCTGCAGAGCCAGGCAGACCCGAATTCTCTGGGCGTAGATGCTTTCAGGAGCAGAGGCAGCAAACCTCACAGGCCCCTCATTCAGCAAGCCACGGCCTTGAACGCAGGGGGCCCGGGCCCCAGCTGGGGGTGGAAACTTCTCATAAGTTTGGGCAGGGGAAACCCACGGCTCAGAGGCAGCCTGTCCCACAGGAATGACTCCCATGCTAGTCCCCAGGGAGGGCGCAAAGAAAGGGTAAGATGCCTGCGCACATACGCCTGTGCAGAGGATCTGTGCTCTCTGCGTGCCCTGCCAGCCTGCAACACCCTGTACGGAGACGCGCTTCTTGGCGGTTTCCTGCGTTCTGGCTTCGGCAGCGGGGAACACCGTGGCTAAGTCGGATCCATATGTCCCAGCGTTTCACGAACACCGTTTACAAATGCGTGTGTGCAGCTATACTGGTTAAGGCACTCGGGCGGGCTGAACTAGAAGCAAGCGCGCTTTAAAGCAAAACTCAAGCAAAACCTGGTTGCCAAGACCCTTTCTGTACCCAACCCAGGCTAAAATCCAAGTGCAAGGTGTAGATCTGCTCCTTGTGCATGGAGCAGACTGGCAACTGCCCGGACGTAGCACTGCTCTGCCGGCATCGTGGTGCTGTCATAGCGAGGTTGGCGCACGCTGCTGGGAGGAGGGTCGGTGCTCTGCTCTGCCCGGGGAACCCAGCAGGTGTATGGTACCTCTGCAAGGGTCATTCCCCTCTCACGGTATTGCAGACAGGCCCTGGCTGATGGGGTAGCTACCAGCAAACACCAATTTCTAAATCAGTGGCGATTTCCACGTTGCAGTGGATTTCTCAGCTGGTGTTTCATTCTTTAACACACGTTGCAGGAAGGTCCTGCCCTGAAAACCAGTCTAGGAAAAGCAGTCAGACTGCCAGGAGGCACCAGCAGGCCCAGAGAAGAGGACATTGGGATTTTCATTCTGGCATCTCTTTTTACAGCCTGGCTTCACTTGCCTCCCACCCCCAACCCATTTTTGGTGGGTCTGACAGAGCAAACCAGCTTTGGGAAGGATTAGAAGAATCAGGAAGGAGTAGCCACTTCTGAAATGCCACATCTAAAATATCTGCCTAATCTGGGCCAGATCCCACTGGGATCACCCCACAGCCACCAGGCAACTGCAACATGGAGACAAAAAAAGCTGTCAGCCGGGACAGGCTCATTTCTGGGTGTGCAATATTTCTCTTCTCTCATGTGCTGAGGCAGACCTACCCTCCTCATGGCAACCTCTTACAACCTACCCCAGCACCCCTGTGGGGCTGGCCATGACACCTCCCGGGGCCCAGTGTGTGAACGACCCCAGCCCAACCCAGTCTCACCCAGGCGACCACCTAACCTCGCCTGCTGCACCTCAATGGAAAGTTATTACGGATTAGGGAGACTGTCCCTGGGACCAGGACGAGTCCTCGGTACCTCTCATCCTTCTGGCACTACTTTGCTCTTAACCTTAGGCCAGCTGCCTCCCAGCGACACATCCCACTGTACAACAGGAGCTCCAGCAACTCGCATAGCAAGCCCATGCCGCAACTCTACCAGCGATGACCTGCTGGCCCCAACGGTGCCCGAGGGGGTCCAGTCACATCCTCCGGCCTCCCCAGAGCTGTGCCCATGTCCATGCTGTACCCATGTTACTCGGTCTGCATTTGTTGAGCCTTCCAGCTCAGATCCTAGTTTCTGCCCACTCCAGCTCCTGCTCTTCCATCCAAGTTTCAGCCCCTTTGGCCTCAGCCCATCAGCTCAACTCCCTTTTTGAGATTTAAAACAGTCCAAATTCCCTTTCCAGTTAGACTCCTATAGCCAATTAAATACCTAATCCAGAATCCTGAAGCTCTGGCTATGCTGCAGCATTAATTTCTTAGCAGTTTAACTCACAAGCATCTATGCAGATGCTTCACCCATGAAGGGAGACCTCTCCGACCCGATAGCAGCCCCTCCTGCTCCTGGGGCTCCCGCTCCTCGGGGACCAGCACTTACCCAGTCTGCAAGAGAGCTCCATCCTCCCGGACACCCAGGGCCATAGCACCCCTTCTTTCCGGGAGGCAGCCTACGTGCTGGCCCAGCTGCTCTCCTGCCAGTCAGCGAGTCCCTGACTCAGCTCCAGCCCAGGGGTTTTCTATTCCCTTTTTGCCCCATTCACCTCTGGCCATCCTGCCTGGGGCAGGCCCACACCTGGGATCACTTTCTCCCCCATCAGCGCCAATTTGGAGCTCAGTCTTAGCCTACAGCTCTGCTTCAGAGCAGCGCCTGGTTAGGTAGCCGGTCTCCCCTGGTGTAGGGGCTCTGCCCTCCCCGGACAGGGGCTCTTTTCTCCCTGTTGTGGGGGTCCTTCCTCCCCAAACAGGGGGTCTTTTCTCGACAGGGCCTAGGGGTGAGCCTCACCCTGCAGCAGAGCTCCCCTGCTCCAAGTCCCTGCCCTCTGGGTCACAACCATTCGGCTCTTGAAGGGGTTTTCTCCTGCCCATCAGTCCTTTTTCTGTGACAGGGCGTAGACCCCCCCCCCGTTACACTGCTGCCTGGGGCGATAAGTCCCTTCCTGTCCTCCTGGGTGCCAGGTTGCTTTTCCTGCTAGAGCCTGGGGCTTTCACAGCTCCCCGCGGGAGGTGAGCAGCGGTGATCCAGCCCCACAACACCACATGCTGGTAGGGCCCTTATGCCCCCTGTGCTTCCCTGCTTGCTGCATGCTGCACCCCGGCGCTGGATTCACAAGGACCTGAGCGTTTGGGATCCTCCTCGAGCGCCCCGTGGGAGAGGTGCCCTCAGCACAGAGAGCGCCCGCTCT